TTTTGGCCTTTTGTGTGTGTGTGTGTGGGTTCTCATCCTCAGGAGCAGGAGCTGAAGCAGCAGGAGCTCCTTTTCCACTTGAGTTCTGCCAATCCCCGGCTAAGACTCTGTGTTGCCACAATCACAAGTTCATTGGCCACACAACTGCCACACATGGCTAAAAAAGGGGAGGAGAGATGGCCACAAGATGGAAGGAGAGGGCCTGCAGGGGCAAAGAATGAGAAGATGGACTTATGGTTGAAGTATCTATAAAAGTCATTAGACTTAAAGTTTTAACAGTGTCGTGGGGAAGGACAAAAGGCGGGAAGGGAAAGGAGATTAACCTGAAGAGTGAATTTTGGGTCCCCAAAAAATACCCAGAAAGCCCCAAACTTCGGTTTACAGCTATTTTTATTGTTTGCGGAAAGAAAAGAGGAAAGCCGAAAAGGAAAGGAGAAGGACTCGAGCAGCAGGACATATGGGGAAAGAGCAGGAGGCCAGGATAAAATGTGGGAAGCAACTCAATAAATCAATATTGGAGTGTGTCTATAATGCTACTCCTTCAGAGAAGGAGAAGTAGAACCCCTTTAGAGGGATGGGAAGAGTCCTCCTCCTACCCTCGGCAGTAAATGCAATTGTCTTTGAAGAGCAGAAGGACGAAGAGGATGAATGTCCTGGGACCATGGGGCCATGTCTGAGCCTCTGGCATTTAAGGAAATGACAGATAAATTTGCTTTTAAAGCGCTTTAAGTGTCGCTCGCGTTGAGTGAAAGCCAAAAAAAAGACACAAGGATTCTCCACGGAGGGTAACAGAAGGGGAGAAAGGAGGCAATGTGTGATGGTCCACAAAATCCGGAAGAGGACGTAACGCGCGCCTGCCTGCCCCTTCGATGTGTGTTGGTGTGGCAGAGAGATGATTGTTGCAGGAGGGGGAGGAGACGTTGATGCCACGGCCATGAAACAGACCGAGGAGGCGGAGCTTTTCGCTCATAAAATATTTCAATATTGTAACTGATTTTTTTACACCCTGCCTTGCTCGCCTCCCCCTGCCTGCACTTTTCCTCGGTGTGTGTGGCGGCTTTTGGATTTTCAGGGAATATTTTATAATCTCTTGTTCATATTTTTTGGTCGAAGGTTTTCCAATATTTCTTTATTTTGCGTATGAGAATTCCTTCCTTTTGGGTTTCGTGATGGTTTTTGTCATTATTTACGTATTTGTTGCATAGTTTTTGTATTGGTTTTCATTGTTTTTAGATGGCTTTTCCTTTACTTTGTGTTATTTTTCTTTTTTATCAATGTGTCAAAATCAAACAAGATGCATTCAGTCGAAAAATAAAGTACATAAGGGCTTAACGTACAAAAACACTCATCCAATGCGTTGCTTAAATTCAAATTAAAAAAAAAAAGGGAAACTAATGAAAAAATTATCAAAAAAACTACGAAAAAACAGAAATCTATGGAAAAAATCATGAAAAATCATGCATAAAAAATAGAGTAAACAAAACAGGAATATAGGAGATTCAATGTATTTGTGCTTTGATTTTTGTTTGACGCTCATGCCTCAAACTGTTGCCACTGCGACTGTCTGTCTGTGGCAAGTGTGGCTCTCCCTCTACCCATTATGTATGCTACAAATAATGTGGTTCTCTCTTCTGTGTGTGTATTTTTTTTTGTTTTTCTGGTTTGCAACATTTCCATTTGCATTAAATTTCAATTCGCATGGGGGGTTACCATATGCCCTGCCCCTCTTCGGCATGTTGTGGGGTGAATTTATAACTAAATCCCTGGCATAAGCAGCTCAAATCCAATGGCATTCGGCCATGTTTACCCATCATTCCCCCTGCCACTGCAGCAGACCCTAAGGGAGGAAGAGGAAGCCATTCTGTGGGACGATGTCTGCGGCCATATGTTGTTCTGTTCTGTTCCATGGCCAGAGCAAGAGAGAGAGAGAGAGAGAGAGTGGCTGCAAATCCGCCGTAATTTGAATAGGACTACAAGCAGCGGAATGAAATTCGATTCAGATTCAGATACAGATTCGTGGATTCTGTGGAATCTATTTAATGGCAGCCGCGATGTGTGTGTGGGCGAAGCGAAAAAAGGGGTAAAGTGAGAGAATGATTACCCAAAAAAAGGGGTTTACTGATCGATTTGCAGGGATGCGAGAGAGTTTACTTTGGGAATTGCATAATTTGTAGGGGATGCAAAATGGGGGTAGGAAGATGCTGAGGCGGGAAGCTAAAAGCCTCAAGCTAATGTAATTGAATGCAAATTCAATAGAAGATTTTTCGTAGTGTTTCGGAAGGAGTCAAAGGAAGAAGTTTTGCTGCATGGCAGAATCTCTTTATTTACTGAATTCCTGCCCCAATCATTGTGGCTGTCCTTTAAGCAGAGCTGTCACTGTACATATCGTACGTACTTCAATATACATTCAACAATATGTAGCTGCATTTCACATTGCAAACAAACAATAATATCGACAAATTTCATTTTGAATTCTGATTTCATTGCTGATGTTCGGGGTTCCGCCATTGTTTGGTGCCGTATTTTGTATTGGGATTTTGTGGGGTTTTGCCGCCATTGTTTGGTCATAATTAAGCCTCTCCTCTCTCTCTCTCTCTCTCTCTCTCTTTGGAACTGTGTGGCTGTTGCTCCTCTTTTGTGGGTTCATGTGAGCCTCATTTAGCTGTCATTTGGCATTCGAAATTGTCGGCATTATGTTACAAATCAATTTCTGTAAGGATTGATGGTTGGATGGTTATGTGTGTGGGAATACTGTTATCTATCTATCTATCTATCTATCACTCAGTCGCGTTCTCTGTTTTTCTCTCTCTCTCTCATCGTCATAGATTGCTATGCTATGCTTCAATGCAATTTCATTTTGGCGCTACTTTTCTTCTACTTTTCTCCTACTGTTTCTTTTTTGATAAGTGCACTCTTCACGTCCAAGGATACGTACGTGTGTCCATTTATCTTGATTGCGTGTGTGTGTGTCCTTAAAGTGCGTTAGTATATGTGTGTATATGTATATGTATATGTATATTGTGTATATTTATACTTTTAGAAGCAATAAGATGTACAACATACCATACCATGCCATACCATACCATACCATACCATACATATACATACATATATAAGAAGTAGAAGTGGTATAAGAGCGCTCACTGAAATCACTTCTCATCTCAAGATGTGACCAGTGGCCCCCCCAGTCTGTCCATTTCCTTCCTCTCTCTGGCTCACCCTTTCCCTCTCTGCATCTGTCAATCCTCATGTCTCTTACTGACCCTTTCCCATACGTACCCTGGTGATTTCGCAGGGTAAATTTAATGTGGGGCAAACCAGTCTCCAGAATTCTCCATCATTCGCCCATAGGTCCCCTTACCTTCTGCTTAATATACCCTGCTCCAACTTCTCCATCTCGTGTTTCCGTCCCTTCCACTTGCACTTTGGTGACTTTGTTACCTACTGCTCCTTCTCCGGCTTCCTGACTTCTCGTCGCCGGTTTCGTTCCCCGTCGTCTGCGCCTTCGCCATCGCCTTCGTCAACGTCTTCGTCATCATCTACTCTACTTCCCTTCACTCTTCCTCTTTAGGGTTTCTGTTATTGTTTGTTAATATATAGTACTGCTTAAGGTTTTTTCTTTTGCTGTTGCTGTTGCTACTTAGTTCTCGTTCTTATTTTTGCTTTTGTATCTGCTGTTGTTGTCTTGTTGCGTATGTATTTTGCTCACGTAATAACGATAATAACGCTTATTTCTTTCATTTCTTTCTGCTCTTTCCCAAAACCACTTCCGAGACAGTGAAAGAGAGTGAGGGTGAGGGATAGCTCTCTTTCTAGTTTTTTCCATTTTTTGTGTTGGGTGCTGGGGTGGGGGGGCACAATGTCGTCGGATGCTGTTGTCGGGAGCGGAGCTCTGCTTTTGGAGCTGCGCTGCTGCTGCTGTCATGTAATTCTCTTAGAGCTTAGAGTAGCATAATATTTATTGTGAATTTTTTTGTATAGGGTATGAGGAAAGTAAATTTAGGGGTATATTCGCTGGAGAGAGAGAGCCTAGAAACTAGCAGCAGACGATGGGTGGGTCTTTAAAGTGTTAAGACTTGAAAGGGTTAAAACTAACAGAAAGTGTAAGTACGCCATCTCCCTTTCGCTGCATCCAAGCCGTTTCACACAACGAGTGCTTTACGCACTTTTTATATTGAAAACATTGCATATGGAGGAGGGCTTCCCGACTGCTTCGACTGCTTAAAAGCTTCTCTTTCTACTCTTTCTCTTTCTGCTCTCAGCAGAAACTGCAAGTACTGCAATACTCATACATACACACCTTTAAATTTTTGCATCTCTATCTCTCTCTCTCCCATGCTCTCTGCTGTCGTTAGTCTCTTCTTATCTGTTTGATCATCGCTTATTGTGCTCTTTGTGCGCGGGTGTGTTCTATTTATGGCAGAGTTCTGCATTGGTTGTACTCGGTCCAAGGTCCAAGAATACCATTCTGGAAGCAAACGAAAGGGGATGCATACAGTGAAACAAGCGATGGCTCTTCGCTCAGGGTCTTATGCTCTGTTTAGCATGTAATCTTGTGTCTTTTACACGGCATCAACTATTCGACCACGGTAAGTCCAAAATCTTCTTCTCCTAGTTTCTTTTCTGCTTTTGAAGCATCAAATGCGCTTAACTGTTTCGCCTTCCTTTCGCCCTTTCCTTCAACACGCTGTGACACGCATAAAGGGGGAGGGGGGTAAATACAAGCAGCAGACAAATTGATAAAAAGTCACAGAATGAAGTCACACAGTCGCATTGAATTACAATCATCAACAACAAAAAACACACACACCCACAAAGTTTAAGGGAAAGGGAGGGAGTAAGGAAAAGGAGGAGCTCTGCAATTGATAGAAATTCCATATAATGTGGAAGGGGAAGTGGAAGTTATTGTTGCGGCGGGATTTCTTTCACTTTAATTTCTGTGTTTTTGTTTTGTTTTTGTGTATTTTTTCCTATTTATTTTCTTCCGCTTTTTTCTCCAGTTTCGGATTCTGTTTATGGAGTCATAGTCACGTAGTGTAGTCTTGCAGCTTGCAGCGGATCGTAGCATCTACGTGTTTGTTTATCCGTGACAACTATCTCTGGCCCTGACCTAAGACAAGCGAATCGGATAAGAAGACTCTCTCTCTGTTTACCAGTTTATCGGTGGTAAGTGGGTTATGCAGATAAAAATAGTAAATGTATGATGATTGGGGAGTGCTTTTTATTTTTTAAGAGATGAAGTTGTAGGAACTGGAGGCTTCAAATAAAGGGAATATACACAATACTCGTAATAATCTTCTTAATCAATAGCTCAACTCAATTTAATTGAACAAACAGTTTAGCATGGTAGTTTTTTTTTTTTGCACAACCTCAAACCTAATTCAAAACTAATCAAATTTGTCTTTAGAGTTTAAAGTAATTGAATGGCTGCAGCTGTGGCTGTGTGGCTGTGGATGTAGGCAATTTGTTGATGAGATTTAATTAAGTTTATGTTCAATTAAAGCCTTGCTTTCTAGGCCACAACTCCAATCGATGGATGGATGGCTGGCTGGCTGGTGTTTCTTTGTTTGTCTCTGCATATAATTATAATTATCCAACCGTTATCATCAGAGATACATCCATTGAATCATGGGGGGGAGGGACAATGTATCTGTGTATCTATCTGAGTATCTGTGTGCTCTACTCTCCAGATGTAGAGTGTCAAACTCCACATCGAAGGAATGGGGCGGAACGTGTTTGCACTTGCCACCGCCTCGGGGGCTATTTAATGTCGGGAGTAGTGTAGATGGCAGGTCTTTGCCTGCCATTTGCTGTAATGCGATGCAAAGATGTTTGCTGCCCCACACGATGATGTTCGATTAATTTTGCAAAGATTGACGCTGAGTTTGGTGGCCTAGTAATTATGTGGGCGGCATTTGGGGCACGTACAGCAAACAGTGGCACGGCACGAAAGCAAACGTATAAAATACAAAATACGGGAAGGACTCCACCTGCCTCTAGGCTCTCTCTAGGCAGAAGTAGAAGGCCCTTAAGTAGTCGTCATCATCAGTCATGCGTGCGCAGATATTTTAAGTGCTTCCTCTTGGTGGAACGTGCCCCTGAGGAAGCTCCAGCCCCTTCCCATCGATAACCAAGTATCGGACTTTACGCAGAGCAACAGATAGACAGAGCGAGCGAGCGGAGAGAGATAGTCGATAGAGAGCACAGACAGAGGTTGCTGCCGCATTATAATATCGATGCAGGCTGGCAGGCAGGCCTCCGCTTCCGGGGCTCGTCCTTGAGTGCACCACCCCACCATCCGCCCATGCGATTTCCAATCTAACGGGTGAATCCTTTAGGCCTTTGCAAGCCTTCACTCCTGATTCCCCCTGCCACTGCCAATGGCACTGCCTCTCCACTGCCACTGGCAGGACTTAAGGGGCCATAATGAATGGACACTTGAAGCGCGTGAAAGGATAAAATTGCAGGGAAATTTACTCTCAAGTGGAGTTTGCAAAACTACGATAAATGTGGATAGAGTGAGAGGGGGCGGGCGGTGTGGGGTCTGTGGGATATATGGTTTATAGGGAAATGCAAAGAGAATCTAGAAAAGATAAAGCCATTGATTATCTACTTATAGCACTGCTGATTAGCGAAGAGTGCACTTAGCACATTGTTTAATCTGTAGAATAAGTATTCCCCATATCCAGAGATAGTGCTTGCACTTCCGGAAGATGAACGTCTGTAAAACGATTCTGCAATCGTTTCCCCTTCCGCATCGTTGTTGAATATCCCAGGGTATTCTCCTCTGTTGCTCGTGGCTTAGTGGCTCTGTTGTGGGATTATTAGTTGGGAGTACCCCAGCCACCCACCCACCCAATCTCCGTCCTGAGCATAATGGGTACGAGTATGTGCTGTATTATGTGCGCTTAAGCACCCACCACAGCAGAATGGCAGCAGTAGATTGCAGCGGCATTATACGAATCGCATTGCATTATAATGCCTCTGTCTCTGGCTCCTCCACTGATTGTTGTTCTTGTTGATTGTTTGGGGCTGGCTGCTGTGGGTGTGGCTTCCCACTGCCTCCCACAACCCAGAGACAATAGGTGTAGGTGTTTGTGTTGGTGTTTGTAGATGCGCTGCAGTGGTTATTCGCAGGGTGTGTTAAGCAGAGGGTAAGAGAAGTGCGAGAGCAATCGAGGCCATCGTGCATGATCAAACATGTTCGTACGCCTCCAAAATATATTTACCTTGCTTTAGCTTTCGTTGGAAGTTCTCCCGCAGCGTCTGCTGATAATGGAAATGAAGAGAGGGAACTGAAGAGAGAGAGTCATACGTGTATATGTCAGCAGAAAGAGAGGAATACAGTTCTCCTAAGCACCTCTACCCCTCGCACTCCTTGGCACTCCTCCCTCTCTACACTTCTCTCCCCTACCCAGCCTGCTGCCCCCAGAGAACAATGTGTTCAGAAATAATACAAAAAACAAACAAATGGATAAAGAAAAGAAAGAAAAATCTGCTTTTCTTTTGACGGGCAAAACACTGCATTAGAGAGCCGCCTCCTGACACTTAAAAAATACAAAAAAAAAAAGAAAAAGAAAAAGAAAAAGAAAAAAAAAGGAAACAAACAAACAATTAACCCTGCAATGCCAGCGGTGGGTGTGATGTGACCGCTTGACACTTGGCAAGAGGAGAAACAAAAGGAAAAGTGTCAAAGAAAAGTTGCTTTTGTTAAAGATAAAATTATGATAAGAGATGGGGTTTTTTTATGGCTGTATTTGAAGGATAATATTTTTGAGGATAATTAAGGACTTTCATGGAATTTCATGGATTATTTCTGTTAAAAAAAAGTGGGAAAAAACTCTAACTTTTGCCCAGTAAATTGTCTCTTTAAAAAATCTTAAGAACCTGCCCCTTTAGAGGGGTTAATATTCTGTGGGAGGCTGGAGGTGGGGCCTTCAAGGTCAGGCCTCGACTAATACATCACGGATCATTTATTTGAAATGCTCTCATCCTCGGGCTGCCACTCTGTCCCACTCCCTGGGGGGCATGGATTGTCAAGTGCATGAAATATTTCAAAACATTTCGGGGAGTGCAACTGGAGGGGGGTCTGTGTGTGTGTTTGACAAGCCTTCAAACTCCCGTTAAGCGGCGGCCACTCTTCAAGTGTGCCTGTGAAGAGGCACCACTGCTCTCCCGTTACCGTTCCCTCTCCTGCTTTTCCCTTTTCCATTTCGCAAAGAAAAGAAAAAGGAATTCGCAAGAAATTTCATTTCCTGGATGTTCCACGAGTGGAGGCCAGGCCCCTCCTGGACCTCGACCTGAAGCTCCTCCAGTCCACTCCACTCATTCATTTGGCTTTAACATAAAACCAATTTAAACTTGGCCCAAAGGCGAGGGATGGCGGTAGGGACGGGGAGCAATGGTGGGTTGCAGGAGGGGGCAGGGACTGTTTAACGTGCCTCAATATGCAGCAGACAGACAATAACAAACTACCTCTCGCATACACACACAAACAGAAAAAAGAGAAGAGAAACCATTTTAATTTCATTTCAGAGCGGAGTCGTAATTTTAAGTTCGAGTTTCCATTTGTGGGAGGAACAGAAGGGGTGGTAAGGGGCATGCTACCTGTCCCAGAGTGTGGGTCGGAGGGAGTAGGGAGTAAAAGCTGCCACTTAATACTCGTGGGAAAAACAACAATGAGAGTTGGAAAAAACCAAAGAGAGAGAGAGCAGAAGCAGCAGCAGTCGCAGGGGAGCAGGGGGAGGTGAAAACTTGATAATAACTTGAACTTTCCAGGCATCTTCCCAGGATTCTTTGGGGGGTTTGCTTTTGCTTTTTGGCTTTATTCCCTAAAACCCAAAAGTTTTGCCCCTGCCTCCGCACTGATGGAGGAATTTGTGGTTGTTGTGGGGGAGGATGTGGCACTGCCACTTGTTCTGCCACTGCCTCTCGTTCTCCCTTTCATAATTGCGGAATTGCTAGAGGATTGTGCAAAATTAAGCGACTCCTACGCCTCGTTTCGCTCTCCCATAACAAAAACAAGGCATCCTCTTAGGCGATAACGATTAAGGCAACAGATTTATGCACAGACACACACACACATGCGAGCCCCAACAGGTGCCAGCGCCACACCACAGGAGGAGGCCCAATCTTCTAACCCATCATCTCCTTTGGGCCCCAGCCTCTCCTCATCATCCTTTTGGTCCTCTCCCGTAGTTAAGTGCAGGCGCAATTTAAATTCCAAATTTGTTAAACTGTCACAAGTGTTTTGAATGCAAAATGAGGAAGTGGTCCACCCCGCCCCCTGCACCGCTCCACGGAGGGAAGACAGACAGTGTGGTACATGACGCTAGAGCAGAAGCTATAGAAATTTCGTCTATCAAAGCGAGTGAACTGCTGGAACTTCTCAGTGATATATATTTAAATAATATTTATTTTATATTCGGATTAATCTTTGGAGGAATGAAATGTAGTCCCAAAGAAGTATCCTTTTTGGCAAAGATTTAATTGAAATTAAAATATATTTGCGACTGTAAATTGTTTGTGGATTGTGGTCGGACCTTATGATTTTGTCACAAACTGTATTATACGAGAAAGTGCTAGAGGTGTGTGTGTGTGTGTGGGCGGCACGGGGGCACCGGGGCACGTGGCTAGGCGCATAATTATACAGCGAAAATCTGTGAAACCCATGCAGAAGCGATGAGCGATGGCTCAGAAGGAGGGTGAATGATGGGGGGGAAAAGTCAGGTGAACGTGAAAATTGCTTGGGAAAATAAAAAACCAAAAGAAAAGGAAACTTTGGCTTTTAGGATATTCTAGAGGAGAGGGAGGTGACTGCTGTGATGTGTCCTAAACAAACAGTGAGAAGCGTGAGGTGGTGGTGGAGGGGGAGAGGGTGCGCACGTTGAGTTACGTTGCCACACGCACGTCATGTGGCATGTGTAGGCGAGTGTTCGGTGTGTGTGTGTGGCGCTGCATGAGTAATAGTAATGATGTTGCCCCACTCAAGAAGTAGAACGTGGCATGCCCCAAAGAAGGCGCCATCGGGGCTTATGAATAAATTAAGAGGCCTCCTACCCCTACCCGCCGCTGGTTGAAATGGTGGAAAATGGGGACAGAAGGCGCAAATAAAAAAAGAGCAATTTAAATGCGAAACGAACGAAAAATGTTGTCCAAGGGAGGAA